CAAACATTGAACTTGTACCCTGTTACTTTGCTGAAACTTTAAATTGGCTCCAGTCATTTTCTTGCTGAGTCTTTGGGATTTTCTGTGTATCGATATAATCTTCTGCAAATAGAGATAGTTTTAGTTTTTCTTTACCAATTTGGGTGTCTCATATTTCCGTTTCTTGCATTATTGCTCTGGCTAGAACTTCCAATGCAATATTGAATAGGAATGGTGATAAGGGTCATCCTTGCCCGGTACTCATTCGTAATGGAATGCTTTCAGTCTCTCAACATTGACAATAATGTTGGCCTTTGGTTTTGTACATATGTCTTAATTATGTTGAGGAAATTCCCCTGAATTCCTACTCTGTTCAGTGTTTTTGTCATGAATTGGTGTTGGATTTTGTCAGATATTTTTTTCATGTTGATTGATATGATCATGTGGTTCTTTTCCTTTGTTTTATTTATGTGGTGGATTATGTAGATATTTTTTTCCCCTCATGTTGAACCATGCTTGCATACCTAGATGAATTCCACTTGGTCATAATATTTTGCTTTATTTTTTATACATTGTTTTTTGGCTAGGATTTTGTTGAGAATTTTACATCTATGTTCATGAAGGATATTAGTCTATTATTTTCATTTTTGGTAGTCTCTTTGCCTGACTGTTATAAGGGTTATACTCACTTCATAAAATGAATTCAAAATTATTCCCTCTTTTCTATATTTTGGTCTTGTTTGAATAGAAGTGATATAAGCTCTTCTCTGAATGTTTGGTAGAATTCACAAGTGAAGCCATCTAGATGAGAACTTTTTTTTCTTGGCAGTTTTTTTTATATGACCTTTTCAATTTCTTCCTTTGTTATGGGTCTTTTCAAATTTTCTACCTTATTCTATGTTAGTTTCATTAGATAGTATGTTTCTAGAAATCTGTCCATTTCTTCTGTTTTCAAATTTGTTGGAGTATGTTCTTGTTGTTATTTTGCCATCAGGTTGCACTTGACTCATAGCAACCCTTCCTGGGGTTTCCAAAGCAGTATCACTATGGAAGTAGATTGCCCAACCTTCCTTCCAAGGAGTAGTTGGTGGGTTTGAACCACCAGCATTCTGTTTAGCAGTCAAGTGCTTTAGTCACTACACTATCAGAGCTCCTTGTTGGTGTATTGTTGTGGTGGTTTGTTGGTGTATGTTGTTTGTTGTTACTTGCCATTTAGTCGGCCCAGACTCATCGCGACCCCTCCTTGGGTTTCTGAGGCAGTATCACTACAGAAGTAGGAATGCCCAACCTTCCTTCAGAGGAGTGGCTGGTGGGTTTGAACTGCCAGCCTTCTGGCTAGCAGTCAAGTGCCTTAGGCACTATGCTACCAGAGCTCCTTGTTGGTGTATAGCTCTGTATAAAAACAAAAACTCACTGCCGTTGAGTCAGATTCAACTCATAGCAACCCCTCCTTGGGTTTCCAAGGTGGTATCTGTACAGGAATAGGTTGTCTAGTCTTCCTTCTGAGGAATGGCTAGTGGGTTTGAACTGCTAGCCTTCTGGTTAGCAGTCAAATGCCTTAGGCACCACACCACCAGAGCTCTTATAATTCTGTATAGTATCCTGATATTATCATTTTTATTTCAGTTGCTTCTGTTGTGACTCTTTTCATTTCTTATTCTTGTTATATCCATTTTCTCCTTCATTTCCTGTTAAATTTGCCAGTGGTTTGTCAATTTTATTAATCTTTTCAAACCAGCAATTTCTAATCTTGTTGATTTTTTTCTGTTTTCTGCTTCACTTATTTGTACTGGAATCTTTATTATTATTATTATTATTTTCTTTTGGTGACTGTAGGCTTATTTTGCTGCTCTTTTTCTAATTGTTGGAGAAGTAGGGTTAGGGTGTTGATTTTGACTCTTCTCTTTCTTCTTTTTTGAGGTGTACATTTATTGCTATAAATTGCCCTCTGAATGCTGCTTTAGCTGTGTCCCAAAGACTTTGGGATGTTGTATTTTCATTCTCATTAGATTCAAGGAATTTTTTTTATCTCATTTTGTATATTTCTTCTGTCACCCAGTAGTTTTTAAGCAAGGTATTAGTCAGTTTTCATGCGTTTCCCTTTTTTCCTTGGTTTTCCAATTGTTGGTTTCTAATTTTATACCATTGTGATCTGAGAAGATGCTTACAATACTTTGATGTTTTTAAATTTATTGAGGCTTGTTTTATGGCCTTATATAAGGTCTATTCTGGAGAAAGTGCCACATGTACTGGAAAAGATTGTATATTGTGCTATTGTTGGGTGGAGTATTTTGTATACACATCTATATGGTCAAGTTGGTTGATTGTGTTGTTTAGTTCTTCTGTATCTTTGTTAAGCTTCTTTCTAGTTCTTTTCATCATCAAAAGTACTGTATTAAAGTTGTCTACTATTATTGCAGAATACTCAATTTTCTTTCCAATTCTGTGAAAGTTTTATTTATTTATTTTGGGGCTCTTTCTATGCATCCATAGATATTTATTTTGGTTATGTCCTCTTATTCAATTAACTGTTTAATCATTATATAATGTCCTTCTTTGTCTCTTATAGTAATAATTTTTGTCATTATATCTATTTGACCAGAAATTAGTATCGACACTCCTCTTTTTGGATTGCCATTAGCTTGAAATTTTTTTTCCCAACTTTTGATTTTCAGTCTATTTTTGTCTATGTCTAAGGTGTGTCTCTTGTAGACAGCATATTGGTGAATCATGTTTCCTTATCCATTCTGCAACGATCTGTCTCCTGATTGGTACATTTAATCCATTTACATTCTGTGTAATTACCAACTGTTGTTGTTGTTGTTATGTGCCGTCAAGTCAGACCCGACTCATAGTGACCCCTCCTTGGGTTTCCGAGGCAGTATCACTACGGAAATAGATTGCCCCATCTTCCTTCCGAGGAGTGCCTGGTGGCTTTGAACTGCCAGCCTTCTGGTTAGCAGTCAAGTGCCTTAGGCACTATGCTACCAGAGCTCCCAAATATCAACGAGTATGCACTTATTGCTGTCATTTTGTTGTTTTTTTTTTGTGTGTGTGTGTGTGTGTGTGTTTGTGGTGTTGCTATTTCCTTTGTTCTATATAATTTTCTGTGCTGAGCTCAGTTTGTTTATGGATATATATATATTAGTCATTTCCTTCATTACCATCATTTTACTATTTGCTAAATATTTATGACTCTCCGCTTTTTTTTATTTTGATGAGATGATTTATTATTAATTATATTCGAGTTTATCTTGCAATTTATTATTTTCCTGCTGGCCCAAAAAGCAGCTGGTAGCAGGCATGTGGTTCCAGAAGACATTCCTCCCATTCCAAAATGTGGTGTTGGCTAGCTTGCCTGGTTCCTATGGAAGCTCATGCTGTCCCAAAAGGTGACTGGATGTAGGGACCCTGGTCCAGAAAAAGCCCCTGCTGACCCCAAAGGTGGATAAGAGCAGGGTGTTTGGTCCCAAAAGTAGTTCCTGCCTGCCCAAAAGGCAACTGGATGAGGGCACCTGGACCCAGAAGAAGTTCCTGTCATACCAAAAGGGAGCTGGGTATAGAGGGCTTGGTTCCAGAAGAAGTTCCTACTGGCCCAAAAGGTGGCAGGGAGCAGGATGCATGTCCCCAGAATAAGTTCCCGCTTTGCCTAGAAGTCAGCTGGAGGCAAGGAGTCTGATCTGGGATGGAATTCCTGTCAATCTAGAGCATGGGTAGGGCTGGGGGAATGGCCATACTTCCAGTCACTGGGAAGCTGTGGGAAATGAGGGGAACAAGGGGAATGTTGCACTTTTCAGTATCCAGCCACTGATATGGGTGCCCATGTAGTCCTTTGCAAGCAGAATCAATTACCAGGTTGCTTCCTCAATTGGAACACTGCTTGTAAAAATTCAAAATGGTCATGCCATCAGGTCAGTTGACAGTCCACAGCTTCCTGTTTGCAGTTTTCATTCAATTTCTTCTACTAGTCTGTATTTGATCCACTCCTTTATTCTTTCCTTTGAAGCTCAGAGTTCCAGGATTTGCATCTGTATCTGTTTTATTTGGCTTCTCATTTTCTTGCTGCAGAGGGTCTGATTAGCTTGTTTGTCTGTTCCACCATCTTATCGGAACCTGCTAGCGTCCTTTTTGAACATTTAGAAAGAGATTCTACATTCGGTGGCCCCTGTATTGAATTTGGGTCAAATGTTGATGCAGGCTAGAGGTAGCAGTGAGCAATGAGAAAAAGGAAAATACCTCTTAAATCTTGGTTGATTTTTGCCTGCCACAGAAAGCATCTTTCAAATTAATGTAACATATGTAGGGGTTCTAAGACTACATTTCAGTAGTGTTTAATTTGTCATATATACAGAGTATCTGTCTCTCAGACCTCAAGTGAACATGCAAATAATTATTTGATTTTTCAAGTACATAATTTTTTCCACAGCTCCCAGAGAAAACAAAGAGTTACAAGGGCTTTTCAAAATTAATTTCTATTTAAATTTCACTTTTTTAATGTGTTGGTTTTGTATATATAAGCTGGAATCTGTGGAGATTGCATTTTTTGGAAGATTGGGTTCATAAAAAAGTGATCACATAAATTATAAGGAAAATGTAATTTATTTAAAAAAAAAGAAGAAAAAGGAAGATAAGGGGGAAACAGGGTCCCATAGATATGGTGTTTTCAAATTAAATAATCATTAAATAAAAACTTACATATGAAGGAGATTGTTCATTTACAATTCTAAATCTTTACACTAGAAGCACTGACATTCAAAAGATAAGTTATATTTATAGATTATTATACTACATTATAAAGCATAATTAAAGCCCAAAATAATTTGCATTATATCAAATGGTATTTATAGAATCCTAATGATCTAGGAAATTTATTTAAAATTTTTCTTGAATTGTTTTCTATAATATGCTGCATTTGGTCTCACATAAGGCCTCATGAGAAATAATTATCTCCTATGTGCTATGGCAATGTCATACTCTCAATTAAACTAATATCTCTTTAAAAAACAATTTCAAACTTTCAGGTTTGTTGTAATGGAGTCCTCCACAATCCCCAACCTGGATACAGCTGTTGTGAAGAGAAATATCTCCCATTTGCTCTGAATTCAACAGGAGTTTGTTGTGGTGGCAGAATACGAGAGGCACAACCAAATCATCAGTGCTGCTCTGGGTATTATGTTAGCATTCTACCAGGTGAGGATCTTTTCCTGGCAGACTTAGTAGTTGTAGGAACCTGAAAATGAAAGTGCATGGCTCATGTCAGTGAACTGTTTCACATACCTCCCATCAAAAATTGAACAACTTCAACATAACCATGTCCCATGTAAATATTATTTCTTCCTTGTGCTTTGTTGAAATATAAGTAGGGTTAGGTACAGGTAGCCCTGGTGGCATAGTCATTATGTACTTGGCTGCTAACCAAATGATTCACAGTTCTGAAATATTTACAACCTTTGAAATCCTATCAGGTCATTATGAATTGGAATTGACTCCATAGTAATGGGTTTGGTTGGTTTAGTAAGTACAAGCATAAGAGGGGGGAACACAAGGGTCTTCTGTATCTGCTAAATAAGGAAATATGTTTGGATACCTGGATAGTTCCTGTATTCTGTGGCTTTCTTTTATTCACCAAGCTAAATATTTGCAGCATCAAATCTGTGAAGTAAGTTCTTAGTGTTCCACTCCATGAAGCTCTTGTCCATGTCCTCCACTTCTATTCTGAACTATGCATTACTTCTGGATGGATTGTGAACATAAACTCCATTCATCTGAGAATTGCAGTCTAGTGACTGCATCATCTTATTGCTCTAGGTTGAGCAGGGGAAGACGAGGTGCTGCAAAAAAGGAAACAAACATGATTTATCCCCATTTTTGTTTGTTTATCAGTCAAGTGAACTTCCCATCTCTCCAAATTTTCACTACACAAAATAATGTGCCGTGAATGTATTTGAAAATAGTGATAATAACAAATGAGAATTGATAATAGTGATGACAAATGACTCATATGTGTCAGAGAACTGTGGTCCATAGGGTTTTTCAGCTGATTTTTCAGAAGTAGGTCACCAGACCTTTTCTCCAGGCACCTCTGGGTGAACTAAACTCAGTTTCATAATACATGCTATATTATGCATTATTGTTGTTGTTGTTACGTGCCATCGAGTTGGACCTGACTCATAGCGACCCCTCCTTGGGTTTCCGAGGCAGTATCACTAAGGAAGTAGATTGCCCCATCTTCCTTCCGAGGAGTGGCTGGTGGGTTTCAACTCATTTCTAAGTCTAATGGAGAACTAAATACTAGTGTTTTTATTTCTAAGTCACATTAAAATTTTTGGTAATTTATGATTTGCAATTAACTACTCAAACTCTAAGGAGCTCTGGTGGTGTAGTGCCTAAGGCATTTGACTGCTAACCAGAAGGCTGGAGGTTCAAACCCACCAGCCACTCCATGGAAGGAAGACTGGGCAATCTACTTCTGTAAAGATTTAGTCAGAACTGATTCAATGGCAGTGAGTTTGGTTTTTGGTTTGACTCAAACTCTGAAAAATACCACCTATCCTTAAAATCTGATGAAATATACTTGGTTGCATCTATCATTGCTTTTAATTCTTAGGAGATTTGCCTGTCACCTTACTTAATCCCAAGGAGCTCTGGTGGTGTAGTGCTTAAGGCACTGGGCTGTTAACCAAAAGATCTGTGGTTTGAACCCACCAGCCACTCTGGAAGAAAGATGAGGCAGTTTGCTTCTGTGAAGATTTACAACCTTGGAAACCCAATGGGGAACATTATGAGTAGGAATCAACTTGATGGCAGTGAGTCACTCAATCCTAATGCAAAGAGTAAGATTTTGAACTAAGGAAAACAAAACAAAACAAAAACTACTTTTGTCCTATTTTTAAATAAATGCAAATTTTTTTCTAATGTAGGCCAGAACTTATATGACATAAGCCATGAGAAATCCAAAAGTGGTTCTTTGATGCTTACACAAACTTTTTAAAGACTTATTTTTAAAACAAGAATTTAAAAATATGCATTGTCTAAATATTGGCACATGCTCACTCAACCCTGAAATATTTCACATTTTACCAAACTGTTGAGTAAGTCTTGCATTCAGATTACCTTCGAGTAGTTCATTTTTCACAGTACTAAAATGACTACTGTGGTGTCCAGAGAAAAAAATATGATCTCACAGAATAATCAGAGAGTGTTTTATTCCAATCATTAATCTCAATATACCTAAATGAAGAGCTTATAGTGTGACCTCTCTCCTCAGCCAACGATCTTTGTTAACTAGTTTAACAGCTGTTTACTTCAGGAAAGAAAGCATAGTGACCCCAAACTATCTTGTATCTGAATATAATTAAAGTTCAATCAGTAGTCTGCCAGATCAAGGCTGAGATGAGCATAGGCATTTTGATATTTATAGGTGAATCTGAAATATTGGTTAATTATATAATTATATTTACTTCATTTTTTTCTCACTGCTTTCCTCTGTAGCCCCCATAACAAAGAACAGTGGAGCAAAGAATGCTCATCACACATCCCCTTTTTTTTTTATAAATATGCTAATGATCCCAAGCGAAATGTTAATGTGGGTCATTCTTTGATAAGAATAACAATTAACTGTAGCTTTTAGAGAGAAAACATTTTCAAGCCTGGCCTGAAATAGATTCATTTTGTGAGGTTAATGAGAAGGTGACTGATCCTTGCATCTTAAGTCTAACAGCCCCTTTTGTGAGGAGAGAAAAAGGAGCCCTGGTGGTGCAATGTTTAAGTGCTTGGTTACTAGTGGAAAAGTCAGTGTTTCGAACCTACCAGCCACTGCACAGGATAAACAGGTAGCAGTCTGCTTCCGTAAGGAGTATAGCCTTGGAAATCCTATGGACCAGTTCTCTATCCTGTGTGGTCACTATGAGTTGGAATTGATGTCATAGCAATGAGTTTGGTTTTGTTTCATGGTTGAGGGAAAAAATCAGTTTTATTTCTCATTCTTCTCTTAATTTTTCTATCAGTAACTAAATAAGAATATGAAGAATTCAAGGAAATATGGCTAAAATATCAAAACCAATTTTTAAAATATCTAAATAAATACCTTATTACACTCAAGAGACTCTTTCATTGTTAGCCTTCCCCAAAACTGTGTTTTCTCTAACCCCACCCTCGGCTACCACCACCACCATTTTCAGTGAAGTTGACTCCAATTCATGGTGACTCATATGTGTCAGAGAACTGTGGTCCATAGGGTTTTTCAGCTGATTTTTCAGAAGTAGGTCACCAGACCTGTTCTCCAGGCACCTCTGGGTGAACTAAACTGCCAATCTTTTGGTTAGCAGCCAAGTACATGAACCATTTACCCCACCCAAGGACTCCATCCCTGTCCTGAGTGGTGTTTATTAAGTAGATACTGCCCCTGTAAAAGTGACACATAATGCTAAAGAGTAGTTTACACACAAGGGACATTGTATTCTCTAGCTATGAAAATTTAAGAAATATGATGATTACACTTCAGATTAAACAGGGGGATCCTTTTACCTGAAGGATGTAACAAATATAGTAATTTTACTAGTTATAGTAAGCTCATTCCTCTTGCATTGGCTTCTGGTATCATCATGATGAAAAAATCACTAAGTTCCCTTCTACTTATAAACACTATGTTGAAAGATCTTTTTAATGCTAACTGAAAAAGCTGATTGTCCTCTGAAATTCTAGTTCTGTGTTATCTTTATCTTAGAAGAAAATTGAGTATTTCTCCTGGAGATTTATCTTAACAGCAAAAAACAAACCCAGTGCCATCAAGTCCATTCTGACTTATAGTGAACCCCCGTAGGATTTCCAAGGCTGTAAATCTTTGTGGAAGTAGATTGCCTCATCTTCCTCCTGTGGAGTACCTGGTGGGTTTGAACCACAGACCTTCTAATTAGCAGCCAGAATGCCTTACCCATTGTACCACCAGAACTCCTTTATCCTAGGAAACTGAAGTGTTTGCCCTAAAACTTGCACATGAATGTTTATGGCCTCTATTAAATGCCCAAAACTGGAAATAACTCAAATGTCCTTCATTGGGTAAATAGAGTCTATACAAAGGAATACTATTCAGCAAAGAAAAGGAACAACCTACTGTTACAGGCAAAGGCCTTAGGCTGAGTGAAAGAAGCTACTCTCAAAAAATAACAAACTATGAGATTTCAGTTATATGAAATAAAAAAAATAATCTATAGTGGTGGAGAACAGATCAGGGGTTATTGGGGCTATGGGCAGGAGAAGGATATAACTATAAAGGAATAGAATGAGGAAGTTTTTTAGGGAAATGAAACTATTTTTGCATGCTGATTGTATTTATGTGTTATAATCCATAGAACTATACCCACAAAATTGTCAATTTCAGTGAAAGATATTTTAAAAATAAAATAAGATAGAAATGATGCATTAAAGTTCTAATTCCATTTTACAAATAGGAAAAATGAGATAAGAACAAGGCCAACTCACTCGGCCATTTTGGATTAAGATTTCCATGATTCAGTAATAGATTGAGGCCATAGAGATATCATGATAGGTACTAACATGATGACTTACTACTTAGTGTAACTTCATATATTTTTCTGGTGTATTTGAGTAGAACAGAAAGCAAGAAGCTACACCTCCATTATAATTAAGTAATTAAGTTATAATTTTGGACAATGAATAAGGAAGACTGAAGAAGAGTTGATGCTTTTGAGTTGTGGTGCTGGCGAAGAATGCTGAAAGTACCATGGACTGCTAAAAGAACTAACAGATCTGTCCTGGAGGAAGTGCAGCCAGAATGCTCCTTGGAAGCAAGAATGGCCAGACTTCGTGTCACCTATTTTGGTCATGTTGTAAGAAGGGACCATTCCCTGGAGAAGGATGTCATGCTTGGTAGGGTGGAGGGTCGACGAAAGAGGGGGAGGCCTTCAAGGAGATGGATTGATACGGTGGCTGCAATGATGGGCTCGAGTATAGCAGGGATTGTGGGGCTGGCGCAGGATCGGGCAGTGTTTTGTTCTGCTGTGCATGGGGTCGCTATGAGTCGGAAACGACTCGATGGCACTTAACAACAACAAGTTATAATTTAAGTAGGTAATGTCTAATTAAAAACAACAACAACAATAAAGCAAACAAAAATGTCCTAGTCAAAGAGAAATTTTTAGTTCAGATTCTATTTTCATGATAAAATTCTAATGAAATAAAAAGTACTGTTTAGAATTTTGGTGGTTTGATGTTGAGTAGCTGATAGGTAAGATCATGGGCTCCAGAGTCACATTTCCTGGCTTCATAGCCCATTTCTTTCATTAATTAGTTCTTTGACCTTCGTTAAGTTACTTAACTGAGTAACATTCGTGGGAGACTCATACCAATGTCTTTGATGTCCATTGAGCTGTAGAATTAGAACCCCCAAATTGAAAAGTTCATAGGAATAGGAGAGAACACAAGTAAAAGGGGTTCATAGGAGCCCTATAAGTAACAGAAGGCCGTCTGTAATAAATCTATCCATAGCAAGGGCTCAGGTGTGTTTACATTCATCCAAGTATATAATGGGACAACCAGTTCAAAACAGTTAGGAATCCAATTTCTACTGCAACCTATGAGAACAAAAAACTTTTATGAACTGGCTTTTGGTAACTGGCCAGAGAAAGTCACAAGTAGCTTACAACTTTCAAGAGGAAAATGATTTTCTATTTATGTTACATCATAATCTGGGATCTCAAACCAAAAACAAACCCTGTCTATTGTTCAGCTGTAAGTTGATGAGTTCAGTTCCATGCCTGAAGGGTGTCTAAAGGCCATAGTCTTGGGAATTCTACTAGTCTCTATCAGCCTGGTCTTTTGCATTATTATGAGGCAAGGCAATGTACAATAACAGGGAGGTCAGCACAAAATGATCAAGGCAAAGGAAGACGCTGGAAGGAGCACAAGAGTTAAAGGCAACAAAGGTAAATATTATACATACACAATCCTGTAATATCAGTAATAACAATAATCTACAAATGGATACATAGACACACAAGCTGAACAGAAGTGGGAAGGTAAATGGGACTACACTCACAAATACATAGAGGTTTGACAGAAGATATTTCTACATGTGTATCTATTTGTGCTGTAAATATAGCCATGAAAATAGTAGAGCATATAGGAGACAAAGTTATGAAAACTTTTTAGCCGTAACCAAACACCTTGAGGAAATGAGTTGCTGGACCTTAGTACTCAGGACCATAGACTTGTGGGACACCAAGGTCGATTGGCACAACATAGTCCTTTTATATTTTGTAAAAGGTTGGTGCAAATCACACCTTATAACACAAAGGTTAACTGGCATAACATAGGCCAAAAAGACATTGTTCTACATCCTATCTTGTTGACTAGTGATTGGGATCTTAAAAGCTTTCAAGTCTCAATCTAAGGTGCAACTATTGGTCTTTTCTCATATGAATCAAAGAAGAGTGAAGAAAATAAAAGACACATGAAAACAATTAGTCCAATGAACTAGTGCACAACATGAACCTCAGCCTCCATGACCCTGAGACCAGCAGAACTAGATGGTGCCCAGCTATCACTGCCAACCACTCTGAAAAGAATTACATTGGGAGATCCTAGATGGAGTAGAAGAAAAATATGGAACAAAACTCAAAACAATTTAAAAAAAAAGACTAGGCTCACTGGTCTGACAGACTGGTACAACCCCTGAGACTATGGCCCTTAGTCACCCTTCAAGACTGCAACTGACCTCGCTCCTGGGGCTCAACTTTCAGCCAAATAATAGACAGACCTATGAGGTGAACAACACACTTGTTAGAACAATCAACCATAAAAAACCAAAAGGGCAGCACTTGCCCAGGGATAACTGCAAGCAGGAAATGAGAAGAGTGCTGCTGCTTTGTGGGTATTGCAATCAATGTCATGAAACAAAATGTGTATGAACTGTTGAATGGAAAGACAATTTGCTCTGTAAACTTTCAACAGGATCACAATAAGAAGTTAAACATGCTAAACATTCATCTTGTCTCATTAACATAGCAAAGACAACCCATTCCCAAATGGGACTATACCCATAGACGTAGAAGTTAGGATTTAAAAAACATATTTTGGGGGAACACAAACATATAACACGTAACAAATTTTTCTGGCACACAGTATGCACACAATTTGTTGTTGTTGTTGTTAGGTGCTGTTGAGTCATCTCTGACTCACAACAACCCTATGTACAGAAAGAAACACTTCCCTGTCCTGTGCCAGCTCCACAATCCTTGCTATACCTGAGCCCATCATTTTAGCACTGTGCCAATCCATCTTATTGAGGGCCTTCCCCTTTTTCTTTGACTCTCCACTTTACCAAGCATGATATCCTTCTCCAGGGAATGGTCCCTTCTGACAATATGACCAAAGTAGGTAAGATGAATTCTGGCCATTCTCACTTCCAAGGAACATTCCAGCTGCACTTCTCCTAGGACAGATTTGTTAGTTCTTTTAGCAGTCCACGGTACTTTCAGCATTCTTCACCAACACCACAACTCAGAAGCATCAACTCTTGTTTGGTCTTCCCTATTCATTGTCCAGCTCTCACATGCATATGAGGCAATTGAAAATACCATGGTTGTGTCAGGCACACCTTGGTCTTCAAGGAGATATCTTTACTCTTCAGCGCCTGAAAGAGGTCTTTTGCAACAGATTTGCCCAATACTAAACATCGTCTGATATTTTGACTGCTGCTTCCATTGGTGTTGATTGTAGAACCAAGTAATATGAACTCTTTGACAACTTCAGTCTTTTCTCCATTTATTGTGATGCTGCTTATTGGTCCAGTTGTGAGGATTTTTGTTTTCTTTATGTTGAGGTATAATCCATACTGCAGACTGTAGTCTTTAATCTTCATTAGTAAGTGCTCCAAGTCATCTTCACTTGCAGCAGGCAATAAATGTTAGCAAGCAATAAATGTTAGCAATTTGATGTATGAGGCATAGGTGAATAGGAAATTTTCTAAAGTATATTTTTGTTAATTTGAAACAGTACCTCTCAAATTTTCCAGTCTGAGAACTAGTTACCAGTCCACAAGAGAAGTAGTATGCACCAGAATATAAATTGATGCATGGCTTTCTTCCCTGAGGAAGTTTTGGAATAAAAAAAAAAAAAAAGTTCAACTGAGCAAAGCAAGGAGTACGGTGATACAGTTGGTTGGTTGTTACTTGGGAGGAAGCTCCTTACACTACTCCACAGACTGTACTTCTAGCAGCAAAGGCTTAAATAATGAATTTATATTTGGTTTTGAGGAGAAGTCTACAAAAGTATAGCAAGTTTGAATTTAGGTTTCAAAACACCTTTCACTATTTTCTTCAGTATCAAGTACCTATTTACCTTAGAATTATTCAGGATGCCCCAGCTTCCATCTACTTAACCTTGATGAAGGAAGTCTAAAACGCCTGATTTTAAGCTTTCTCTCCCAATGGGAGGCATATTATCTGTGTTTGAAATTTGGCTCATACCTGATTTCTGCATGTCCTTTGTAAATGGCTAATTCAGTCCAGATGATGTTGTTGAAGGGAATGTGGAAGTAATGACAGTCATGAAATTCACTATCTATCATAGCACAGTAAAGAAGTAGTATGCTGACTATAGTGTTTTTACCTCTTTTCACTTAAGAAATAAATTTAGTTTGGTTAAAGAAGTTAAATTTATCAGTGGTTGGCTTTGGAATCCATTTTCACTTTCCAAAAAAAGAAAAGAAACATTAAATAAAGAAGAATATTCCTCAACAAAGTATTTCGTGATGTCAGTTAATCTCTGTCACCGGACCTGATGTGTGTTAGATTTGAGAGGAGAAGAAAGGAAATAGACAACATATCCTTAACTCTAACTTGGTATTTGTATGTACACACGTTTTTATAACTTTAACACAACCACACAGAAGAAATGAAATTGTATTGTGATTTTACAACATTGGAATGATAATATTCTTGCTAGTAATTCTGTCAATCATTTGGGATTTGCAAGATAATTATGATAATATTTGGTTGTGACTTACAGCAGATTTTTTAAACCCATGCAATGATTGCTATTGTCCTAAATTGGCAGGTGAAGTATGCTGTCCAGATGAACAGCACAATCGGGTTTCTAGTGGCCTTGGCGACTCCTGCTGTGGCAGAATGCCCTACTCTACCTTAGGACACCAGATTTGCTGTGCTGGGAGGCTCCATGATGGCCATGGCCAGCAGTGCTGTGGTGGACAGATTGTGAGCAAAGATTTAGAGTGCTGTGGCGGAGAAGAAGAGGGTGTGGTGTACATTCGCCTTCCAGGTAAGAAGCCCTTGTCAACCTTTCAGTAGGTAGAGGAACTGAACAGCAGAGAGGTGAGAAGTCAGCCTGATATAAAACAAATAAGTAATTAAACTTACTATAATTACATTTTATGCAACTACTGAGTACATATTGTATAACAATTACAAATTTAATCTTACATTTTTGATGTGCACTGATGCATTTCATAAATATTTACAGATCAAAATTAAAATTAAGTTTCAAGAGAAACTTGGAAAGTGTTATGTCTACCAAAACATACATACACATATAAATACACGCAGTAGTTCTTGATCAAGACAATATTTCCTAGAAAATATTAACAGCAAACAAAATTAGTATGATGATACTATGTCATTATTCTTTTACTCCCCTATTCTGCTATACCTATGAAACTAAAAAAGAATAAAATAAAAACCATTGCCTTCAGGTCGAGTCTGACTCATAGTGAGTGACCCCATGTGTTACAGAGTAAAGCTGCTCCATAAGGGTTTTTTTTTGGCCACTCCTCGGAAGGAAGGTTGGGCAATCCTACTTCCGTAGTGATACTGCCTCAGAAACCCAAGGAGGGGTCGCTATGAGTAGGGTTTGACTCGACGGCACATAACAACAACAACAACAATAATATTTATTGATGCAGATCACTAGGCCTTTCTTCTATAGACTGGGTAGGTTCGAGCTGCCATTTTAGATTAATAATTAAGTGCAAATACTTTGTGTCACAGCTACCACTAATATCAATAGCAATCATTAATATTGATTGACCACTTAATATCTCTAATTGGCACTGTGCCAAATACTTCATAAGTATTTTTTCATTTAATTTTTACAACATTTTTACAGGATAGGTTCTATTATTATCCACATTTTATGAATAAAGAAACTGAGACACAGAGATTAGAAACTTGCCCAAAATCACATACCTTGTCAGATCTGGATTTCATGGGGCCTGAAGCTTACACAATTTCAGTCTTCCTTAAGAAAAGAATACTAATTAAGAAAACAAAACAAAACATAAAAATGAATATTTATTGAGAATGCAAAAATTTTAAAAAATCATACATTTAAAAACAGGGAAATCTTGCTAACATGAAAGGTAGTATATTTGTATTATTTAACTCCTGACACACCTCTATAGTTTTTCCCTTAACATCTTTAGCTTATACACTTGATTACTCTTTGTATGACAATTGCTATGTATCATCATTTCTGGAAAGAACAGAAAGATCATTTCAGTCTTTCTTTTCATATGGCTAATCAAAATACTTTTGTTTTGTCAATTTTTTAGACTTTAGAAAAGTAGCTATAGGTTTCACAATTCATTATCATAACGTTTTATAAATGTGTAGAATTAATGAAAAATTTGTAGAAATCTCTACGTTTCTTTCTGTAAGATTTCAGGGTATTTCAGTAACTTAAGTATTCATTAAATTGACAACATCATTAACAAGTTTTCATAAACATCCTTTTTGTATGATTGAATTTGAGTTGTATGTTATATGTTGTTACTGTTGTTATGTGCTGTCGAGTTGGACCTGACTCATAGTGACCCCACCTTGGGCTTCCGAGGCAGTATGACTACGGAAGTAGATTGCCCCATCTTCCTTCCAAGGAGTGGCTGATGGTTTTGAACCCCCAGCCTTTGGTTAGCAGTCAAGTGCCTTAGGCACTATGCTACCAGAGCTCCCTGTATGTTATATAGATACCAGTATTTTATATAAAATCAGCAGGATATATTTTTCCAATGTACTTAGGAGTTACTCGTCTTCACAACCTGAGTTATCAGACAATCAAATTGAACATGCATTGCTTCAATTCTATATCCATCATTTTTTTTAATAGTTTACTGCTTTGGGTATTATATGAAATTCATTTTGTTCAAGTTTTCTTCTTGATGTAAGAATAATTTCAGTTGATTTCATTGTTCAATTTTATAGCTTTTATTGTATATTTCATCAATTTGTCTACCTAATCTTTGTCTTTCTTTAAAGCTTCCATTTATATATATACAAATTAAGAGTCGTAACTTCTCACATTCCTTATCCTTCTAAATTGCAGTTAAAATAACATGTTCATTCAAGTGTTAATGACATTTTTATGGAAGTGATTCAAAACATGTAAATATAGCTAGCCCACTGCCATAGAGTCAATTCTGATCATAGCGACCACCATTAGAATTCCAAGGCATAAATCTTCACAGAAGTAGACTGCCCCACCTTCCTTCCATGGGGCAGCCATTGGGTTTGAACTGCCAACCTTCTGGTTAGCAGTCAAATGCCTTAGGCACTATGCAACCAGAGCTCATGAACCCAAATTAAGTGTTGCCCCAACACAGTTTGCCCTTAATTACATTCAAAAAACATACATGACCACTCTAACCCAATCAATATGAGGGCAAATATGACAGGGCAATTAAAATGGACAAGCAACAGTAGCCTTAACAAATTGTAGTTACAATAATTTGTAAGTGTTATAAAAACAGATGACCATGTATGTTTTTGAAAGGGTACATGAAAGCAAAGAGCTCTGAAGTTCAAGTTTCATTAGGCTCATGGTAAGTCTATACCTGCAACTAGTAAGCATTGAAACTCTAACCCCAATCTGAATATTGCTTCAGGACACCATAGTATCTTGATGGAGATGAACTGTAAAATTTTTGCTGTCTTTCCATAATTTCTTCTCTTTCCAGAAACCATGAAAGAATGATCTTAATACAGTAACAATTGTTCAAAGTAAATATTATAGTTTCATTAATAAATAACTATGTTTTTATATATTTCAACACATTTTTTTCTATGCAAAGTCTGATGAAAACCATTAACAAGAGTATTTCAATAATAAAACCAACCATCTAAATAGTCTATCAACACTAAGCATGCCTGAATCTTGTCCCTCAATCAAAATACTAGACTCTTAGTATTGCAACAGCTCTTAAATAAGTCAGAATGTTAGATTAAATTATTCACAATTAGATTTCAGTCCTCTAGTGTAGGGAAGGAAGTCTGATGGTGTAGTAGTTAAGGCATTTGGCTGCTAACAAAAATGTCGGTAGTTCAAACCCACCAGGGGCTCCACAGAAAAAAAATGAAGCAGTTTGTTTCCATAAAGATTTATAGTCCTGGAAATGCAATAGGGATTGCTATGAGTCAGAATCAACTTGATGGCAATGAGTTTGGTGGTTTTTGGTCAGTGTGGGAAAGGTTCATTTCTTTCTTTGAGGCGAAAGACTGTTATTTCAAGTTTCAAGAAACCCACAACTACAACAACAAAAGGTAGACATTCTGTGGTCACTATTTGCCAAGCTGAGTTCTATGTGCTTTATATTTATTAACATGTTTAATTCTCACAACTGCTCTCTGAGGTAGACACTATTATTTTCTCCATTTTACCAATGAAGAAACAGACATGCAGAAGTTAAATAACTTTTCCCAAATCACACTAGTGAGTTGTTGTGTTACTTCAAGTAATACTAACTATTGTTACAAAAGAACCTCAAAATTTATAAAAGCTCAAACATAACAAAGGTTATTTCTTTCTCATACAGTAGAGCTCAGGTGGTGAACATATCTGCAAATCAACTTTCCTTCTCACATTTCATTCTGGCTTGTGGGACTCTGCCGTTTTCAAAAGGTAGCTTCTCAGGTGACCTGGGGTCCTTGTCTATTCCTGCAGCCAGAAGTTGAAAAGAGCAAGGAAAGAATATGGGAATTTTTCTTTAGCCAGATCTGGAAATAACAAGTATTTTTATTAACATTTCATTGGCTGAACTCAGCTTTTTGTCCATACCTAGGTGAAAGAGTCCATACCTAGGAGCTCTGGTAGCATAGTGGCTAAGACACTTGCCTGCTAACCAGACGGCTGGCGGTTCAAACCCACCAGCCACTCCTCGGAAGGAAGGTTGGGCAATCCTACTTCTGTAGTGATACTGCCTCAGAAACCCAAGGAGGGGTCGCTATGAGTCGGGTTTGACTCGACGGCACATAACAACAACAACAACAGGTGAAAGGGAGGCTGGGAGACTTGCCCTGGAATCTCTGTCACTCTGGCCAAGAATAGATTCTAACTCATTCGAATGGCTACAGTCTGTGCTCTTAAGCTCCATGAATTAATTGGTTGATACCTGTGCAAGTATTGGACACTCCCAAACTCAACCCAAATCAATGGTTATCAAGTCTGATGAGCAGGACCAGCATAACTTAACTGCCACATTGCAAGCATTTTCTGGATCCCCAGAATAAAAAGAGACATTAGAAAATCTGCACTTGACTTCCCACCATGTTGTTGTTGTTGTTGTTATGTGCCGTCGAGTCAAACCTGACTCATAGCGACCCCTCCTTGGGTTTCCGAGGCAGTATCACTACGGAAGTAGGATTGCCCAACCTTCCTTCCGAGGAGTGGCTGGTGGGTTTGAACCGCCAGCCGTCTGGTTAGCAGGCAAGTGTCTTAGCCACTATGCTACCAGAGCTCCCACTTCCCACCATATGCATGCAAAACTAGGAGGAAGGTGCTGTGTATGAGTATTAGGCTCTGAGGCAGAAGTTCTCAAAGCATGCTTCAAGAACTCCTGGGGGATTCCAAGACCCTTTCAGGTAGTCTGTAAGATCAAAACTATTTCCATAATAATAGTAAGCTATTAGGTCTTTTTCACTCTCATTCTTTCATGAGTGTGCAGTAGAGTTTTCCATAGGGTTCAAGATGTGTAATATTGCAATACATTGAATACAAAAACCAATATGTAAATTCAGCTATTTTCATTTAAGCCACACATCAAAGAGGCATGCAAAGGTGTAGAATAATTCCAGTTTTTTTCAGTATTTTTTTGTTTTGAATATGTATTCATCTTCATAAATACATTGTTGTTTTTAGGTGTCATTGAGTCTGCTCCGACTCATAGCAACCCTATGTACAACAGAAGGAAACACTGCCCCACCCTGTGCCAGCCTCACAATCCTTGTTATACCTGAGCCCCCTGTTGCAGCCACTCTGTCAATCCATCTTAA